GTTGGTACTACTTTCCCTTAGCATCATCTAGACACAGCCGACATTCCCCCAGCATCATCTAGTGACACTGCCCTTCTTGTGTCAGACATTGGCACAATGGACTCAGTCAAAGACCCATCAGTATCAATTGTTGGCGCAGTCATCTCTCTTTTTTTTTTTTGTATGGGGTTTTGCGGCGCTCGCAACTGCATAAGGTCATATGAGTGCGCGAAACAAGTTGTTTTTTTCTCAACAGTTCATTTCTTGGCCTGATACTGGTCAATATTTCTGTTTAAAATTGTTAAAACGCATAAAATCGAGTGTAAATAGATTTTAGATTTAATTTTAATTTAAAACAACTTTCTAAATAACGCTTAAAAATTTCAAACAATCTTTTATATAACTTTCCATAAAGGCCAATGGCCTTCATAAAATCTAAAATTCTGATGGGAACAACGACGGAAGAAATATCTTTCAAGTTTTTGCATTAAAAATATTTCCTTCATGTCTCTCTGAAGTCTAAACATTCGGTTAATATGTGTCAAATGCCAAAGGTAAAATCTGTAAATTTGTGTGTTACGGCCGTGTGTCCGATGCGTAATCGAGTAAAAATGACTTCGTCTCTTCTGGAGTGCCCCGAAAGATTTTGTGGTCCCAGTTTGGATTTAATGTTGTGCAGTTTGTTATTTATTTGTTTTTTCCAATGGCTCTCCCACAGACTGGAGGTGTACTTTTTTACTTTATTTTTAAAGTCAGTCTGTGGGAGAGTGTTCGTCGTTGATCCAAACAGAGGGGATAAGGATTTCTTCGCCAGGTCATCTACCTGCTCGTTTCCTCGGATGCCCACATGGCTAGGTATCCATGCGAACACGATACCTTTCCCTGTTTCAGTCATGGCCTGTATCCTTTGTTGTAGCCTAACTATTTTTGGTTGTAGGAGTGTGTTGTTTGTAAGTGAGGTGATGCAAAACAGAGAGTCAGAAAGGATAAGGAAAGATTTGTTAGGAGAATTTTCTACGGAGTCCAGTGCCATGTCAATGGCAGTGGCCTCCGCAGAGAAAATGGAGGCTTCAGGATGGAGTCTCCTCTGGTGTGTACTGTTTGAAGACATATCATTGTCTTTTTTGGAGACATCTGTGAAGGTAAGCTCCGCACTGGGGTATTTTTCTATAAGTTTTTTGTATTCTGCTTTAAATGTTTTGGTGTTTATGCTTGCTTTGTCGCGTGTGGTCAGCTGTAAGTCTACTTTTGCCTTGGTGAGGTGCCACGGAGGGAGGTCGGGGAAAAGAAATTGTTGGATGTCTTGTTTGGAAAAGAGTATGTTTTTGTCATCTCTGCAGCGGGCATCGAGGTACTGACAACAGTCTAACTACCAGCGTCAACTGCAGAAGTTGTTTGTGCCGATGAAGAGCTATCCTGACCCCAAAACCAGAGGGAAAAGGCGTTGAAAATTGGCAGAGAAGCAAACATTTCTCATGGAGTCGGGGCTAAGTTTTGTCTCTGCCAAGGGCACCCAGCGACCCACACGTCAACTTCTGGAACCTTGCAACCATACCTGCAAAGGGTAGGGGTGCAATTCTCTTTCAGAAGAAGACAGAGCAGTGACCTTTGACTATGTGTGGTCACTATCATAAGAGAGTTAAAAAAGTGTATGTCAACTGCATGCTTTAAGTTTAAGGTCTTTGGAATACTTTTATTTCAAGATGATTAAGATGGTAGCCTAAGCTAGGAGTTAAAAGGATGATGGTAAACATGACCTTCTGTATCTTTCTTAGTTATAGACCAGAAGCCTTGGTCTTTTGCCTGTAATTGATAGGCTAGCCAATTTTGTTTGAAGGAACAGTGGATAGATCTATCGATTTTTTAGCCTCCTAGCCTACTTTTTTCATACTCTAACAAGTTAAAGGAGAACAGTAACATCAGGACTGCTTGTTGGGGTCTTGTTACAAATAATCGTTTATTATTTATTTTGTATTTCTTCAGGTTTGTTCACAACCCTTCACAAGTGGCGGCAAAAAGAGGATCCCGTAACCCACTGGCACGCATAGGGGAAAGCCGAGAAAGCATCACAGTACTGACTTGCATTAATGCGGCAGGCTCAGCTATGCCTCCCATGTGTGTGGTGAGAGGGAAGACAAAAAGGAGTGTCCTTGGCTTTAAACACGAGGAAGCACCACAAGGAACTGTGTGGACAAGGCAGGAAAATGCATACATGAATGACACCCTTGGAGAGGTGATGAGTTTATTTAGGACCTTAGAATAGAGATTCATTTCCGATATTTTAGATTTTACCTGTTCTTGTTGACGAAAAACGTACTCGATTTAATAATTAAGTATGGTACTTGAATATGAACAACAGAATGTGGTAGTGGCACAGTCCGTGCCGGCTATAAGCACGCCGGCTTAAAGCATGTTTCGGACTCAAGCATGCTAAACGGCTCTTACCGAATTTTTGCTATTAAATTACACGCCTTTAAGCACGGTAACTTCGGCTTCAAGCACGCTTCATTACAAGACAGTAAATACTTTTATGATGACCCATCGAAGTTCGAACACAGTCTACACCGCAACAGTGGAGTGTGTTAAGAGAAACACAGAGAACGCAAGTGATAGAGACACACACTCACACAGGCGGAGAGGAAGGCAGAGAGATGAACACAGCCGCGCGCATGGACATAGGATCTAGCCTAGGGCAAAGTTACACACTGACTAAAAAATACAAAGAGAGTCAGGGAGACAAGAAAGGGAGGCTGGCTGCGATTTCACCTTTGACCCTCGCTATCCGATACCGATAATCCTGATTGTGTATCACGCGCGAGGTGAGATGAAGGCGGTGGTATGAATGTGGCACAGCGGGCAGTGGTACGCACAGGCAGCGTGTAGGCCTGCTAGTGTGCTGTATCGTGACTGGCCGTCTGAATTAAGTTTTCATTTCCCATTCGACCACAAAACAAAAACAAACAAGCAAAGAAAAACTACCATGGCGGGTAAAAATAACAGTGCACACTTTTGCGGGACCGCTATAGGCCTACTTACAAACAAAGGGAAATAGCACGGGAAATTTTCTACACGAAAATCTCTGGATTATGTCTACTTCGCACTCAAGCATGCTTTGGATTTAAGCACGCTTATGCTTTCTCCTGATGACCGTGCTTAAAGCCGGCGTGGACTGTATCAGCTAATGAATGGATGAATGATTGAAAGGGTGAATGAGATTTTGTTGGTCGGTTGTATTGATACATGGATGGATAGATGAAGGAGTGAATACAGCTTGCAGTTGCTGACCAAACTGTGCTCCTACAACCCCCAATTGATTGTGTACTGTGTTACTTGACGTCTTATCTTTTCACTCTAAAATCAATTTTATTTTAGCAAAGCCGAATCTCTGTTGCAGGAATGGTTTGAGTATGTGTTCCTTGAGAACTGTGGTCCAGACAGGCCAAAACTCTTGGTGCTAGACAGCCACAGCAGCCATGAAGTTTTTGGGTTGCTACAAAAAAACAGAGATGAAGGCATCCATATAATGGATCTGCCACCAAAGACAATGCCCCAACTGCAGCCACTTGACAAAAGTTGTCTTCAAACCTCTGAAAACAGCTTATAGTAAAGCCTGTACTGAATTCATGTCGGGTGCATGCAACACCACAAATAAACAGACGTGGCCTCATTTTCTAAAAAAAGTTTGGGAAGCAGCAATGACTGAGACCCTATGCAAAAAAGCATTTGAGGCAACAGGGATACATCCGCTTGATAAGAACATACTCAACTTCAACTCAGTAGGCCAAGGAGAGGCACAGACCCAGCAACGTGAAGCTGAACCCAGCAGCATCCACCAGGAACCCAGCAGCATCCACCAGGAACCCAGTCAGTCATCCCTGTACATTATCTCTCCACCCTTTTCCCTGGACTTCGAGTGGGATCAGTCAAGGGACATATTGATCGACTCTGAGCTGCCACATCTTTGTGACGTGCCAGCAACAGACCTTTCAATAGCTGAAGTCAGCCTAGGTCAACAAGAAGAACAGGATCGCCCTGATATAGATCTGCTGCAGCAGGCAATTTTAACCCCCGTCCCGCTATGCGCGTTCATCTACGCGAAGTAGGTCATCGCTCCAGTAGCGCTGTGTGCGTACATCTACACTCGCCGGCTGGCAGGGCGGGAAGCGTGCGAGTGATAAATCTATGCTTCTCACCCTGACCTTCTTCAATGGAAAATTACTAATTCTTATTTTTAGTAACATGACAACATCTATTACAAGATAGTTTATAAATATCATCCAATCAAAATTTAGCAGTTCTTTTCCAGCTAACATTCGGGATAGTGTCGCGTGGGACTCTGCAACGAGCCCAATTATCTCTTGACCTTTGGCCCGTTTGCTTGCTATCAGCTACCAGAGAACACACGTCCGAGAGAGTAAACACTGCTTTTGTTTTGCATTTTCGTGTTCTTTTTCCAAGTATTTTCAAGTTCAAAGTCATGGAAAATGATGGAAGCATTCCTGAAGTGCTTGATTTGAGCAATCCTGACCACCTACGTCTTTTGATGGAGGCAAATGTGAGGTATTTTGACCCCCCGCTGTGTGTCGGAGACAGAATCTGCTACTGCTTCCAGCAATGTTTCCAGCACTTCTCAAACTCCAGTGGATGGCTCATCATTGGAGATTTCGTCACTGGTTGGTGATTTGGAAGTAGATTTTTCTGAGCCCTTCAACCCCCCTACGAGAGAGTCATTATTAGATGGTGAAAATGAAACTAAACAAAGTGGCACCTATGAACAACAGGGATGGAGGAAAGGCGCAACCAAGCCACCATCATGGGAGTTCCGTGGAACAAGTGGACTGCAGAGAGAGTTGAGTGACACAACACTCCTTGGCTACCTCAAGGTACTCATCCATGATGACATGATGAAGAGCATAGTTGATGAAACAAACAGGTAAGTGTTGTGCAGTTTTATGCATAGCTAAAAAAAATTGCAGTGCAATGTCCTTCTACTTGTGTGTGTGTGTGTGTGTGTGTGTGTGTGTGTGTGTGTGTGTGTGTGTGTATGTGTGTGTGTGTGTGTGCGCGCGCGCGCATGCATGCATGCGTGTGTGTGTGTCACTGTGTGTGTGTGTGTTTGTGCATGTGAACGTGCATGTAGGTGTTTCACGCTTGTGAATGGAAAGAATGCACATAGTGATATCATCAGATTTTCACCTGTTATTTGAGAATATGTGAGAGGCATGGAAGGAAGGATAAAGTCAAAGAGTGAATATTCAGAGCATGATAAAAAAAAATTCATGTGTACAGTAAAGAAAACGAACAAATTCAATGATACATACACATCCGCAAATTATTTTTAACTAAAGTCAAACTAATAGCTTTCTTATTGTTTATATTTCAGATATGCTCAAACTTCGTTGGCAAACCCCCAGCTCTCGCTTTCGCAAGTGGACCGATATGACCCTCGACACCATGTGGGCTTTCTTTGGACTGATCATCGGCATGGGACTTATCATCGTCGACGACCTTGAGGAGTATTGGTCCACTGAGCCAGTCTATGCTCTCCCCCTCTTTTGTCTGTCATGTCGAGGGATCAGTTCAATCTGATTCTGTCATATTTCAATCTCTGCAACAATGTCGACAATCAGCCACAGGACAGTCCAGATTACAATCCATTATTTAAGATCAGGAAATTTGTTGATGCCTTGAATGAAAATTTTCAGCGGACCTTCCACCCTGGGAAAGACATAGCTATTGATGAAGCTATGGTTGCATGGAGGGGTAATTTGTCTTTCTTTGTATACAATCCAGATAAGCCGGACAAATTCGGAATCAAGGTTTTCCAGCTCTGCGACGGCCAAACTGGATACTGCAGCAACCTGGAATTCTATACAGGGAAAGCAGCACCGTCAGCGAAAGGGGCAACATTTGATGTTGCGGAGAGACTCATTAGGCCATACCTCAACTGTGGACGCACCCTGTATGTGGACAACTATTACATAAGCCCCGACTTGTTTACGTATTTGAAGGAGCAGAGAACGCTGGCGTGCGGCACTATGAGAATAAACCGAAAAAATGGCCCACCCAAAACTATGATCCCAAAGTTAAAGAAGACAGAGAAGGAGGCAGTTGCACTTACGAACGGAGTGATCACCCTCCTTCAATTTTTTGACAAGCGGGAAGTCAACGTACTAACCACTGCACATGTGCTGTTGACACAGGTAAAGTGAACAGGAGTACTGGAGACCCCAATAAAACTCCATGCTGTACATGAATACAATAAACTCATGGGCGCTGTAGATCGCAGTGACCAAATGGTGGCATACAATGCGTTCAAATGTCGTACTCTCAAGTGGTGGGATATCTTATCTATTGAGCCACAACACCATCAAGGGGCCAGCAATCCTCAGCAATCACACTGTATTTTTCGGAGGGAGCTTGTGAAACAGCTGGTGTCCCAAGCGCCAGTCAGAAGATTCCCTGCGTCAAAGTCGGGCAGAGAGCTTGGAGAATCAACCATATTCCGCCTCACAGCTAGGCACTTTCCAACCCCCATCCTACCAAAATCTGACGCAGCAAAAAAGAGGAAGCCGCAGAGAGATTGTGCGGTATGCACCGAAAAGAGCAATCGCAAACAAAGCAGATACGAGTGCATATCCTGCGATGTGGGACTGCATGTGCATCCATGTTTTCAAATCTTTCACACGTGTGAACCCATGTCGGGCCTTCAAAAGGCGACATCCTTCGGGTGAGGCCCAGGCTGAGTAGCCTGACTCCCAAGGCCGACAGGTTTGGGAAAGGGGGATATGGGATGGGGTACTGTACTGTGCAATTTTTCTATGTGGTAGGCCTACATGTTGTGTAATGTATAAGAGCAGTGGAAATCATTTTTGTGACTGGTGTGTGAATCATTCTTGGATTACTGATACAATTTCTTCAATTCTATTTTTGGATTACCATTGATGTCTACTTGCAGAGTTCTACAGAAAAGGTAATTAGAACAACCGGTGTCGAAGTTCTCCTCACAGGGGTGTCGGAATTAGAACTACCGGTGTCGAAGTTTTGAATTACACACCCCACACACTTTAAGAGAGGAAAACAATCAACTTGGCAGGCACATTCACTTGTTTTATACAACAAACAGTTTGTAAGAGGTTTCTTCACCATCTGGTTACAGAACCGGGACACTCAATTGATTTAATCCGACTACACACTACACAGACCAATGAACACAGCAGCAGTCTCAGACCTGCCGGAGGGGGTGTTGAAATATGCACCCTCTAATTCTACCCTACCCTCTAATTCTACCCTACCCTCTAATTCTACCCTACCCTCTAATTCTACCCTACTGATCATTATGCTAAAAACAAAAAGTGAAATAAGTTATCATCAAAAAAGGCAGTGTTCATCATTATGTCAAAAATATTTTTAAAAGTCAGGGGCATCTGCTGAGCTGTCTTCCAAATCTGGGTCTTATTCCTGCTCTTTCTCCTCTTCCTCCTCTTTTTTCTCCTCTTCCTCCACCTCCATTTTTTCCTCCGTCCTGTGTAAAAAGCCCTGGCTATTCAATGCTGCAATACTAAAATTGCAAAAATATTTTCCACATTTCTTGTGGCCTCTACATACTCTTTGGCCTATGCAGCCTTTCTTGACCAAAGCCACCCTTTTTTCTCTTGCTACTTTTTCACCCCACAAAAGTGTAATGTTACATTGGTTCAAGGCCCCCCCTTTTTTTTACACTTTTCTTACAGGAGCCAAAG